CATGATTATAAGGTACCAGGTGTTTAGTATGAACTTATAGTTAACAATAATCATACTATTCCTGACTCAATTTACCCTCTAAATTTCAGCGGTAGGCTTTCCGAATGAGGATTCTCGTCCCTGTCAGAATGGCAGTTCTTATAATACATCGGTTATATAACAACTATCTGCGGGAATAAGACCTTGTATGTCTGGGTCCGTTGGCAGGAACTGCACTGAAAAGCGAAACATTGTTAATTTTACAAGCAAGGGTAGACAGTCAAGGCAAAGCGAGTCACCCTCAGCTCACATCAACGTAGAGAAAATTTCGTGTCTATGAGAAACCGCGCATTTTCAATTAAAGCCCGGGTGATACTAATTTGTCGCTGGTATCAGGTTTGTAGCGACTATTTGGGATTAAGCTGCTGACATTTTAATACCTCAAGAAATCCAAATAACCAGGCTTTAAATAATCGAATTTTTTTACAGTATACATGGCTTTTATAAAGATGCACTGATAATTACAAGCAAAAGTAGTTTCTTAAAGCAATCTCCTGTAAATTAAATTAAAAATTGAATAGTGCAGGCGATTAGCAAATAACCAAATTGAAACTCAATTTTCGCATGATAGCAAGAGAAGCATAATCAATCAAGCCAATTGGTCAAAGGAAGAATAGTGATAAAAAACACAAACTGGGCTGTCAAGTTAATGAAAAGCATATGGAATTATGTCATTCATGTTGCAAAATTATCGAAGTAGCGCCAAGTCTTAAAATTGGTGCTGATGACTACTGCAACCACAAACAAAATTAAAGGATGTGTGGAATCGAATTCATTTAATTACAACCTGCAAAATAATAACTAGTAATATGTATTTGAGCAGTGAGATGAAGTGAATTATTGAAATAATTGATTAATATTAGTTTAATAATAACACAATAATGCCAGACTTGTTCATTCTCCTTTCGCCATTGCACTAAGTTAAAAAATGGAGCGCTCACAAACGGCAATCCAAGGAATAACCAAGTATATAGGAGCAAATATCTACCTCATGGTGTATATTGCCAACCAAATACACCTGAAAAATTATCATTTCAGACAGGCATATAACGATTTTATTGCAAGATATATGAACAGTCAGTGTTTAACTAAACACTAGCATAGAATAGAGATGACAGTAATACTACAAAAATAGAGAGGGACCAACGCTTACCCAGCCAAACGAGCCCCAAGATAGGCTGGATATCCGGAGTCAGCAGGCATCTCGGCAAGACGACCTGATATTTCTCGTAGTGCTTCAGCCCATCGACTAGTCGAGTCAGCCATCATGCTGACGTTGTAACCCATATCTCTGAAATACTCTGATAATGTGATTCCAGTGTAGATAGAAGCTTCCCGTGCAGCCACCGGCATATTGGATGTGTTGGCGACTAGGGCAGTGCGCTTCATTATCGTTTCCTGTTTACCATTTACCTCAATGGTGAGCTATCCAATGTAGATTTGAGAATAAAAATAAGGCATAGTTAGATATCCACATAAAAATGCTAGCCAAAAACTAAATCAAGGGGCGAATTTTTCCTACGTTTATCAAACGATTTTAATACTTGGATATTTAATTAATCTCACCAATCTAAGGAGTGGAACTTCCAGGCTCTCTTGATCCTTTGTCGATTTCAGAGTATTTTCAAGAAATTCTTGGCTTGAATACTAAATTTAGTATGAAGGCTTTACGGTATAGATGCCACCTAAAAGTATCTCTAGAGCTGTCAATATTTTAAGACTATTAAATCAGGTAGTCAGGATAACCAAGATCTCATGCTACATTGTTAAGTCTAGATCCCGTGTATTGTCGTCGATCAGACTTATAGGGAGACTGTTCAGATGGCAAGCATAATGTACGATTCCAATTATTCTCGTGATAAAAATTGTTGAAGTGGCTTTCAATTCGTGTGTGAGTACCTGGTGAAAAGTTTCTTATATCGATCCCACTACAAATGGAAGAGTATCGCTCTGTAATCGTTGATTATTAAAACGAAATTCAGATTGACGCATTCCATAGAAAGGATGAGCTTTTGTCTGTCATATGACAGTCATAGGAAAACTTCAGACTAATAAAAAA